TTAGGAGCCTTGTATTAAATGTTCAAGCTTTTTTACCCAACAAATACAATTTTATTGACATTCATACAAAAAAAAAAATGTAAGCTGAAAAATATTTTGAAAATTTTATCGTGTATGAAAAATGCTAACATAAACAAGTAACAACCACTGAAAATGTCATGTATATCTACGGTAATTTGTTGTAGAGTTACACCAAAAACCAAAATCGATTTTGAGTGAAAATTCCCGTTTTTCCATAATTTTTATATTGTTTTTCCCTGTGCTTTTGCAAACTATTGGGAATTTTAAATTTTGATCTTAGAAATACACCAACTAGATTCACTTTCCTATCGAAAAGATACTATTGCAGAAAATCGAAGCAGTTTTACTGTCCCAAACGGTGGCGACAGACAAAAAAAAAAAGCACACATTATCATTGTAAAAACAATAAATTCATCGCTCCGCTCAAAATCTAAAATTAAACTATTTGTACTGCTCCAAAAAGATGCTGTATAGACACAAAAGAAAACTCATTATTATAAAATAAATACTTCCATCGCTTACCTCGGAAGCAAAAAATTTTGCTTACAATAATATAGTTTAAATATTTTTGGGTTTCATTAAAAACTATTTACCTTTACACAACTCATTTATGTAGAATTTAAAACATTGATCAAAATCCAAAACTTCTTAGATGTTCATAAACTTTTTTGATTGAACTATTGTAAAAGTAAAATTGAAAAATTAATTAAATGAAACTAATAAACGTAAATGAATAAATCTATAAATAAGATCTTCAATTTTGTTTGACTCTATTATCTATTTATATAGGTAATACGTAGAACAGTAAAGATAAATATTTAGTAAAATAGGTACAATATATTAACCATTTTATTTCACTGTAACTAAAAATTAATTAAAGTTTTACAACCAGGTAATTTTTTAAATACTGTGATACTGTGATTATTTTGTACCAAGTATATTTAAGCTAATTTAAATTGAATCAAAAATAAAAACTCGGGTAGGTGCCTGCTCGGCAGCAGGTTTCAAGTATTAAGTTTATAATTTATAAACATTATTTATAAAAAAATAAAAATGTTTTAGTAGGTATTCAAAAAATGGCCCAAGCAATGTGCAGTTTCAATAAGGTCATGAATTGTTCAACAATAATAATATCAATAAAAACCTGCGTGATGCTCTAGATAAGCTGCTTACCTACCTCTACATTGTATTCTGAGTCAATTTACTCTAATTTTAAAAATAACAGAGTCAAATGGATTATTGTTGACGTTTGCAATGTTGCACTTTTGTTAGATGGAGACAACACATACTACCTTAAAGCTACACCTAAATATGTTATGATATAAAAAAAAAAAAATAAAACTAGTAATTTTAAATTCAATACTACACTCTTTGTCACGAGAGAACGGTACAGTTGTAAAATGATTCGATTGGTGCGTGGACGACCACGTGATCACGCTTACAACTTACTGATAGTTGGTGGTGGATGCGTGGCGGCGGACGCGTTTTGGTCGGCCACCGGAACCTTTCTCTCGTGAAAAAGAGTGTGTATAATAAGTAATAACTTCTTTTAGCACCTAAAACAATGAGCTAATTGGTATTGGTAGAATACAAATTATACTTAAGATGTAAATGAATTTTGTTCGCGATACATATAAATTTAATTTTTTTAAGTGAGTATTAGAGATATTCAACCGTGAAGCGATTAATCTATAATATGGTAGATTCTATAGTATATGGATTTTATATTGTTTTTTTCTCTTCTATTTTTTTTAGAATCAATATATACATATACCAAATTTTAAACTATCTCCCTTGTCAAAATCCTAATCGTTTTAAACATGTACATAATATACAGTTAATGAAGTCGAGAAGGCTGAAATCCAGAATTTCAAGTTATTGAAAAATATAAAGACATTTTGAATTAATTTTTTATGATTCCGAGTAGTTAAGAATTTAGAATTTATATTCAAGACACTCAATAATCTAACTTACAAAATTGATAATACGACTATTAATAGACATAATAACTGAAATATTTTATAAAATAGAAATTACAACAACTAATAACATTTATTTATCCTCATTGTAAATATGCTTCACAAAATGAAATAATCCATAATATCAGGGGGGTCAACCCCCCTCCACCCTTACAACATGGAAAGTATATAAATTTATTTCAAATATTTAAAACTACTAAAATATTTTATTATTTTACTAGCTGCCCTCGTGCCTCGATTCCGGGCGTTGTGGAAGCCGCCTTCGAGGTGGTCGAGTGAAAATCGTTTCACGGGAAATTCGAAAAGAAATTAAACCGTACCGAAAACTGTGACTTGGAGTGTAGAGTGGTCTTTGCTCGTCTAGTGTAATACCTGTGCCCCGCTGTATGCCCGGTTCTGTTTTGTTGACTGGTATAAGACATTAGAAATTGCGAATAATTGTAATCGAATGTCTAGCCATCAATCATCGCTCCATGCAAATCTATGAGTTATGGGGCGCATGTGTGTATGGCGGATTGGATGCATGACCCGTCGCATGCTAGATGTAAGTGAAAAAACGGGAAATTCAAAAAGAAATTAAGTCGTATAGCTGCCTTAATTTTTGAGTGTCTAGGAAGTCAGTCACCCGGCTTGATTTTGAGCGTAGTCTGGCAGGTAGGCAATTCGACTTCGCCGTATAGCGGACGACGTGCAACGGTCGGGTAACACGATGAGGCATGCAATCCGAAAACTGTGACTGAGTGTCTAGCGGTCTCTTCTCGTCTGATGTAATACCGTGCCCCGCTGTATACCCGGTTCTGTTCTGTTGACTGTATAAGAAATTAGAAATTGCGAATAATTGTAATCGAATGTCTAGCCATCAATCATCGCTCTATGCAACTCTATGAGTTATAGGGCATGTGTGTATGGCGGATTGGATACATGACCCGTCGCATGCCCTGTTCTTTTGTGCGTGCAAAAAGGATAAATGCATAACGAAAACGGTAATTGTGTGTCTAGCTTTCAGTCCTCAACCGGTACAAATTTGTGCGTTTACTGGGCATACCTCCTAACGTCGATAGTCTGATATTGTATTATTGTAGGAGAAAATGTTAAAGCCGAATGTCAATTGAATAAAAAAATTTAAGTAGTCGATTTAAAGGCAACCATACTTCCTAGGTATATAGATGTCTGGTTGCGAACGACCTGTGCATACCAAATTAAATTAAAACGTTCCATAAAGCTAATTAAATGCTCTAAATGACTTATATAAACACCTGTAGGTGTGGCGTACCTATCATAACATTATTACTGTTCATAAGTACTTATTAAGTACAGTTAAATGAATATATGTGTAGCCTATAAAACATCAGTTAAATGTATCATGTACTCATAAACAATCGACACACCAAGGTTCTACTAAAACTCTTAGCTATAATAGTTAAATGTACTGCAATACTCATGAAAAATGTCTATCTAATCCGTGCATTCAAAATTAAATGCCCCCCTCCAAAAAAATATGTCTGGATACGGCACTGATGGAATGTATTTACATTTTATAAATGCGTGTAATTTAACTTTTAAAATTTGAAATAATAGGAACTTGGTACTTGGTAGGTATGAATTATTACACAATAGGTACTTGCCAAATCGAAATTGAATATTTTAATGTATCCTATCGGCTATCAATACATTTATTATCACTCTTGTTCTATTTTCAAATAATAATAAATTACAATGTAAAACTTAGTACATACTTTAAATTACATTAGTTATACATTATAGTTTATGAGAATTTAGTTGTGTTGTAAAATCCGCAATTTTACAACATGTTAAACTGCTTTGTTGTGTAAATCAGAATTCGTCCATTTGCATTCTTTAAAGATCTTAACTGTGTACAGTAATTAAATCGTATAAATGTAGTGTTCGTACCATGATTGAGCTGTTTTAAGTATGTAGTTTTTAAAATGAGTTTTGGATCACTCGCACGCGTTGGTTGTATGCGCAGTGCGAGAGAAACAGAGATAAAAACTGCAGTTTTATGATTCTCATTTTTCGTTCCTTGCATCCGTCGTACGGTCTTATCTGCGGTCAACGGTCGACAGTCTTCGGCTATTGTATAGCAAATAACCCAGAATGCTTGCCATGTTGCCAAGTCTACGTAACAGGCCATTAGTTATAACTTATAATCCTTTGTTTATTAAGTTAGAGAATCGATCAAATGCCATAAACCTTCTACGCAATGAGCTCTTTAATTTAAAAAAAAAATCATAACGATCGGTTCAATAGTTTCCGAGAACATAGGCCCCAAAGGTTTTCATTTTCACATTTAAATATTTAGATATACTTTGTATGCATATATATCCCAGTGTTGGGATTAGATAAGTACTTTTTTATCTAGATAAAGATAAAAGATAACTAAATTCAAATCTATCTAGATAAAGATTAAAGATAAATACATTTGTATTTAAATTAAAAAAAGATGTTTTTTTTTTTAATACATACTATAAAGTCTAACATTTGACAGTTCAGCTTAGACACTACAGTAAAAAGTGTTTATCATTTTTTTGTATAGAAACGAATTTATCTAGATGGATGAATTTTTTATCTTAGATAATTATTTAGATAAAACACAACTATTTATCTATATAAGATAAAAGATAACTAAATAATTATCTAGATAAATTATCTAAATAAGTCTCAACACTGGTTATATGACCCCATTTCCATCAAAACTCTTAACTATACCTATTATGTATTTCGTTTTTCAGGACTTAAAAATGATTAAAGTCTTATAGTGAGACTTTAATAACTCATAATAATACTGTAACGGTAATTTGAAAACCTACATTATAAAACAAATATGTCGGGTATATTTTATTAAACAGGTTTATTAATTTATGCACAGAAATACACTTACCTAATATATAATATGTTACACAAATGGAATACATTATACATTAGATCTTCAAGTCATACGGGCTACAGGCTTGAGGACAACGGCCCTCAAACTCTCCTCCGTTATGGACACACGGCAGTAAGTTTGCAATTCTTCCCCTCGGCTCCACGCACGGATGCGCACGGCTTCTGCACAGCAGGGTCACGGCGGAACGCTGCCGTGCCGGTTGTCATCGGTGGCGGCGGAGGAGGCGGCCAAAAATTTTCCGAGGTTACAGCAGGAGGCGGAGGTGGCGGAAAAAAATGTTCCGAGGTTACGTCAGGAGGTGGAGGAGGCAGCCAAAAATATTCTGAGGCTGCAGTATGAGACGGAGGAGGTGGCCAAAAGTTTTCCGAGGTTTCAGCAGGAGGCGGAGGAGGCAGCCAAAAATATTCTGAGGCTACAGTATGAGACGGAGGAGGTGGCCAAAAGTTTTCCGAGGTTTCAGCAGGAGGTGGAGGTGGCGGCCAAACATTTTCCGATGTTACCGCAGGAGGCGGGCCTGCGACGGGTGTAAAGGATGCGCCGAGGATGGGTGTCGTCGTCGTCGGCGAGGTAGGTTTGTGGCATTGCGCGTTCAGAGTGTCCAGCTCGAAAAGGTTTTCTCCTTCCGACACATCATTTTCAGCGGCAGCCCCCGAGGTCGTCCACCATAACATCAGCATGTGATTTATTCCAACGATATCTATCGAGTTTTTCGTCACATCACCTACACGGGCACACGTCATCAGTACTTTATTATCTATTAACCGTTATTTTTCTATATTATATTACTTTCAAGAACCGAGACCCTTGTCTTCAGTCTACGTAGCTTGCAGCAGTCGGGTTTTTCGGTGTTTGCTAAACGAACGGAAACGACTAATGAATTACACTGTTATGGGTATAGTCAGGTCGATATATTATATAATATTACTTTCCGAGGACTGCATCTCTGTATTTTTCAACAGATCGGAAGTCAAACGGTTCAAATCTTTTTTAAGGCTAGATACTTCTAATTTCAGGCTGTCGATCGATAGGCGCTGATCGTCGGCCGTCTGTTGAAAGATATACATTGCGTCGGCCACGTGATGTTTCAACTCCAAACAATTCATTTCAACCACTTTAAAGTTATGCTGAAAATCAAATCAAAACCGTTTATCAGCACTGCGATATTATATGATTACATTCGATTGTTCTAAAGCCGTTCTTAGTTTCATACTTGTAGGTCCTCGAACGCCTGCTTTTCCACCGCATCCATATACAGTTCTAGAAAGTATGGAATTATATGGAAAATAGTTTTAATTAAAAAATTATACTCAATATCATATGGAAAACTGACCTCCTATTGATTTTACGAGCTTTGTGTTATCGTTCAAGTTTTCATCGGGCATGGTCCGAAAACTTATCGAATCCTCATTGGACGTGGTCCGAAAACTTACGAATTCATCATCGGACACGGTTCGAAAACTTATCGAATCCACATTGGACATGGTCCGAAAACTTACGAATTCATCATTGGACACGGACCGAAAACTTGATTCAGCATCGAAAAACTTATCGTTGTCGTCCTATTAGTATAAATAGGTACTATATTATTATATATTCGCATTACTTGTAAATTTAAAATCATATCGAAGTTGAATTAATATTGTATTAACCTATTTAATGTGTAAAATTATCAGTAGGTCCATAGTTGAAGTTTACTCATATTTATGATTTGTAAATTTAACTATTAATATGGGTTGAAATTTACCAACATAATATATTATGTGACTTGTAATTATTTCATATTGGTTACAGATTAATAATTAAATGTGCAAGTTAAAAGTTAGTGAATTTCAACTGTTACTAATACTTAAATTTACAAACCCATAAGTGTAAATTGGCACTTATGGTAAATAGTTGTACCTACCTATACGGCTATACCTATCTAAGCTAAAAAGTATGGAATCCTTCTGTGCAAAACCTGATATGTCCCCTTTTTCAAAAAAGTATTTTTACTGTGGTTTCCTGATCAGGAAATAAACTACACATTTCGGTGTAACAAACCGTTAGGTATGTCCGATTATTAGTTACGGAGATAATATAAGCAAAATGGACTTACCAGGTTATTACATTTCAGAGCAAGAACCTGCAGGTATGCACTCCAGTCACACAAGGTTTTTGCTCCGAAACTAATTAATATGTTGGTTATACTAAAAATGACAAATATTATAGAATTTAAACGTTTATTGTTATAATATAAACCTACATAATATTATGTATTATATTTTGTTTACCTCCAAGAAATCTTCCATAATTTTCATTGCATATCCATGGGTAGTTGGTTTTTTTCTCCTTGATAATAGGAAAGACACTCCTGCTATTCCAATGGAAGCGAAGGAAATTCCTATCAAAAATTCTTTCGAAAAAAACATATTTTTACAGAAAATAGAGTTCAGCGCATACAACAAAATAATATTTTATTGTAAGTATATATCGTAGTATATTTTGATATTTAAACAATTCAACCAGATAATAAATTATTATACAATATTATAGTTTAATTTATAAAGTCTTAGATTTTTATCGAACTGCGTTCACAAATTATCGTTATGAAAATCTGAATATGCATAAATTACTTCCATGCAGTGGCGGGCTGGCATGGATGACGGGATGCAATCGCATCCCGGGCCCCAACTGAGTAGGGCCTCGTGCCTCATATACATTCGGAAAAATAATTTAAATAAACTGCTTAAGGCTTTCTAATCGTCGTACTTTTCGTCGACAAACATCTACCATGTATTATTATCATTGAATAAATGATAGACATTTAATATTGTTCACTAGGTACGCCATATCCATAGCTGTTGTTTGATTATTTTTATTTTGTTATATTATATTATATTGATAATATAACAACTATCTAACACATATTATTATTTAGGCATTTTTTTACCTATCTATATCCTTAATATTATAATATACTGTAATAATGTTATTTATTTAAAACATCGTTGATTATCTTACCACTATATTATAATATTTATGTTTTGTTTTGTTCCTGTCTATTAGTTTAAAATTGTAATATTTTTAACTAGGCTTCTTCAACGATATATTTTTGAATATCGATATAGAAAAAAAAATGTAGAGTAGTAATTCGAAACAACCACCCATCAACTCCATTAGCGGAAATAGGCATAGCAATAAATTAAATTGAACCTTTCACAGTCCGTAATGTATCCAACGTCTTAAATAAAACCACTAAAAATAAACTGCCAATTTTCTTTATTGACTTGGAACCTGCGGAAATAAACAAAGAAATTTTCCATATCACCTCTTTATTAAATACAAAAATTAAAATTAAAAAGCCGTACAAAAGACGTATCATTATACAATGTACAAACTGCCAGGAGTACGGTCACTCCAAATCATACTGTGCCCACCCTCCAAGATGCGTAAAATGTGCTGCCAATCATTCTACTTCCACTTGCACAAAATCCATAGACGACCCACCAGCCTGCGCCCTCTGTGGAGGTAATCACACAGCTAACTACCGAGGCTGCCAAGTCCACAAAAACCTCCAAAGTTTCCAATACGGTAAAAATACTCCAAATAAAAAATATAATTTAAGAAATTATGTTAAATATAATTCTATTGTAAAAAAGGGGGAGGACTCCGGTGTCAAAACCAACCTTAACCCTCCCAACATAAATGACACCTCATCTTTTCCAAAGCTGTCCTCACAGTCTCACCATCCTAACACACCTAAACATACTCTCCCAAATAATACTGAAAATCAATATGAATCTAACTTAGCTACACAATTTTCATCTTTCATTTCTGAATTTAAATTAATAATATATCGCTCTTACAACTGTAATAAATAAACTTATAATCAATGTCAACTAAATAAACCCCATCCATAGGCTCAAAAGAAAATATTGCAGAGATTTGTTAATCTAAAATAAACGCACGTTCGGTTCCATCACTGGTTGGCCTCCCTCTTCAAATTATTCAAGTTAAATATGTACATAAATCATCTAATTTACTTATTGTGATGTTAAACACATATTGTAAATATCATTATTTTTAATAAAAATAAAAATAAAAATAAAAACATTTTTATCAATAATAGTATAATAGATGTTTGTGTTGTTATCGGTTATAACTTATAAGTAAAGTATTTTGGGTATCATCTTTTTTTTTGTCATATTTGTTTTTTATTTGTACAATCTGTATAAAAAAAATATTTACAATAAGTACAATGGAGATAATGATAATATATTGGTAATTGGACATGGTTGACTTGTTGAAGAGACTATTCATTAATAGCACTTCATGGCAGGATGGTGGACTCGTCAACTAGTCGACTAGTAGGTCACGGCACCAGCTACGCTTTAGACGTCGGCCAGGGTCGCCCGGGATTGTTCGGCAAGATAGGTTTTGGATGAGAGGGTTTCGGTGATTTGAAAGTTTAAGGTGGAAACGTTTATATAGGGTTTTGGCGTTGTTTTTTACTGTCGGAATGAGGAGATCCCTGTGGAGGGTATCATTTGTAACATAAAAAGGGGCTTTAGTTATCTGCCTGAGGCATTTGGATTGAAATGTTTGGATTCGGTTTATATTGGAGTCTTTGGCTGAACCCCAGAGTTGGATTCCGTAGGTCCAGATAGGTTTGAGGAGTACTTTGTACATGAGGATTTTATTGTGTAGTAAGAGATGTTTGGATGATAGGAGGAGGCGAAGTTGTCTTTGACGATTATTTAGCACAAGTCGTTTGTTACGTATATGGGTAGCCCACGTGAGTCGACGATCTAGGCATAAGCCTAGGTAACGGACATTTTGAGCGGTCGGGTGTATCATCTAAACATTTTATTATTATAGTAACCCCCCCCCCCCCATATAAAATTCCTATCTACGGCACTGCATAATATACTCACTATTCATTTACAAAATATCCCGATTAAAACTGATTTTTTTTTTTTATTATAAAATGGAAAATGCGAAAGTAATAATATAAAGGTACCTACAACAATAGTAAACATATTGTTACTAACAATAAATGGAATTTTTAATTTTTAAAAACAATGCGATATTATAATATATGTATATGTTTGTTTGATTTCAGATCGAACAGAGTTACATTTTCCACCCCAAAAAAGTGATAGCTAAATAGCTTATATAGCATATAAATAACAAACGAACTGCATCATTTTTCAACTAATGCATTAGTGACTCCATTTACGATTTACAATATATCACTTTGCCCCAAATGTATTTAAAAATAATATGTATAGGTACCATGGAAGTTCAAATGATTCGCTCGTTGCTGAGTGCATTTTGAAAATTATTCCTAGTATAGGTAAATGGTTTTAAGAGTAAGTAGCGGATAAAACTTATAATAAAATAAAAATTTCCTCGATTTTTGTATGTCATTTTTCACGTCTCACGATCTAGTCAATTTTGTTAGAACTCTACAAATAATTTGGGCAAAAAAGGAAAAGGTTGTTTTTTGTCCTTTGTGTAAAAGTATATATTGGGTGTGTCACCATCCAAGCCAAATCAAATTAATAAGTTGAGGATAAATAAGTAAGTTTTTTTTCATGTACAAAAATGCATGTAATAAAGTTTCCGTCGAAATAGCGACCAAATTATGTAACTAAAGTGATTCGGTAAACGCCAGAAAAGAGTTTTATCTCCATCG